GGCGGCGGGCCGACGGGCCGGCGTAAATTTCGAACACTGTTCCTGATACCATCCCTGTGCCTTCCACTATTTCGGCGCGTATGTGAACACATTTGGGACTAACAGGGTTTACTAGAATCCCACCACTCCACCACAGAGTCACCGCAGTAGACGTGAGATGAGCGCTGTCGCTCCGCGGCACTTGTTTTGCTGTTGCTTTATTATTTAACTAATTAACCCATTAAATGATTTCGCTGACGTAAACGTATACATGTAGGTACCTCGACCGCGCGCTAGAGGAAAAAGACATTCGCCGCCAGGACGCGGGCACTGTCATTGGCTACATCGCTCAGAACCCTGTAGGCAGATACCTGGCGTGGGACTTCATCAGAGCAAAGTGGGATACGGTTTACGAAAGGTATCGTATAAGCAGGGGTAATCCAGCTAGGCACCAATCAACGTGAATCCAACTGATATATATATATATCTATATAATCATATCATCTCAAGATAAATCTGCACGTTCTGCTTGTATAGATTTGAGAGTGGCTCGTTCGTTTTTATCCCGTTTCGGGAATGACCATTGAATTATATCGCAAACTGCCGCAGATCGTTTCGTTCCTGTTTCGGAACGCATTTAATTTAAACAGCGGTCAACAACGCCATTTGCAGCGCTTTTCATCAAGGTTTCGCCTGTACCGGATGCTCCATTACATAGAAGCACGTATATGTGTATATACGTATATATGTATATACGTATAATATGTACACGTCACGCGATACCGCGAACAAACGCGTTTTGCTATGATATTGTCAGGAGTAAATAATAGGAGAGACGTATTATTTACTTCTGATATTACGCGGCAATAGCGACGTCGGATGGCTTTTCCGCTGGAATACTTTATTTCATGTCGTTTCAACGCTATTTGATGACCGGCTATGATTGGTTGACCTTCGTTGTTTCATTTCGTGCACGGGTTGTGTTTTTGTTCAATTGTCTGTATCCATGAAATCTTGAGTGGCGTCGGTCCTGTTGTAGCTGTTGTCACCCTACGGCAGATGACACTCATGCATGATTTATCGATCAACGGACATCTGTAGCTATTACGTGTTGAAGCACCAATTACAGCTTGCCGTGCTTTCTGTTTTCGCGGGTCCCCTCGATCAACGATTTTTTCTCTCTCTCTCTCTCTCTCTCTCTCTTTCTCTCTCTTTCTCTCTCTCTCTCTCTCTCTCTCTCTCTCCCTCTCGCATCCTGTCTCGTCCCCTCTCTGTGTCTATCTGCCTCTTAGACTAGTGGGATTTCTGAAAAGTGTGAATGTTAGGGGCATTTTGGGGTAAAAGTTGGGAACCAGACTTTTTAACATAATTCGAGTATGCTGAATCCGATAAGCTCGGTTCCCAAGCAAAATTAAGCCATCTAATTTGCATAAACAAAATGGCCACCAAATTATCATTTTTTGACTTTTCTTGAACTATTTTCTACAATAACTTTGTACCCAGGCAAGCAAAAATGAGCAATAAAATGTATAGACACGTGTTTTGAAGATCAGAGAATAAGATAAACACATTTCCAAAGGAATAAGTGGTAAACATACTCATTAATATGCAAATTAGTGACCGCTATTACAGAGAAATCATTTTTTTCAAATATAGACTGGTTCAATTTTCCAAAATTTTTATTTCATGCGGCATTTTTGAGGAAAAGCTAACAAATAGATGTTTCTGGAGCGGATTTTCGTGATGAATATGAAAAAATTGTTTCCCAAATTTGCCTAATTAGGTCTGGTTAGTCTGGTTCCCAACTTTTACTCAAAAATGCTCCTTGAACCTTATACAGCAAACTTTTTCAGGAATCCCACTAGCCTATCTCGCCCCTGCTCTTTCGCCCCATCTCTCCCACTGTCGCTCCCTTCTCTCGCGCGCTCTTTCCCCTTTCTCTTTCTTTCTCGCTCACTCTTTTTTGAGAATGTCGAGTGTTGCGTTATTGTCCTTGCGTGTTAGCACGGGAATGATGTTTTACTGCATGGATATATTGGCTCGGGTGTCATGGCACCCTGCCTCGCTATGTTTCGTCTTCGGCATTCCACATACTTCACGTACGCTGTTAGAGTTTAGAGGAGCAAACTTACGCTTTTATTTCCACACGATGTTTGATTTTATTTGCCCACGATGTCGCCATGCATGTGCTCGTGGCAGAGTATATTGTCATGCATGTGCCGCGGCAAGGTGATATCATCTAACAGGTATTCGTGCATCTGATGCATACCTATGGTAAGGTGATGTCATCTGAGAGATACTTGTCACAAGCTAATGTAGCAAGATAATGTCGCAAGCTAATTGTATTTGTGGCAAGTTGATGTCAACGGGAATTTACTAGCTGTAAGTGGATGTCCGTATGAATGAGCCATTTACCTTGAGACTTCTGCGGCTACCTACACGCCAGGCGTTCTCGCTCTGGCTAGTAACGTTGGTCTACGAGATTACAGTACGGGCATCGTTTTACCATGTAATCAATATGGAACATTTATGGTAACCTATGCTCTTGCTCTCTCACTCTCGCGCGCACTCTCTTCCTTTTCCCCTCTTTCTCGCTCTCTTCCCTTCCCTCACTCTCGCGCGCTTTCTCTTCCTTTTCCTCTCTCTCTCTCTCTCTCGCTCTCTCTTTCTCTTCCTCTCTCTTTCCCCTCCCCCTCTCTCTCTCTCTCTCTCTCGTGTGCGTGCTTTCTCTCGTTCTATGTCTGCCCCTCTCTTTCTCTTTGCTAGCACTACAATCCCTCGGGTAGTAGTGAGAGCATCGGCCATGATACCGCTGTGAGGTAACTTTGCGACAGCTGACAGCTCTGAGTGCGTGGCAGATATTTGACCCCGTGACGTCATACTCCGTCGCATGCTTGGACCTCGCAGATTGATATGTTGCTTTACTATCGATGTCGTCTTTACCATAGGTATTCTATGTTGCACTTTACGTGTGTGTAGACATCTTTGCTCTCTACCCTGCGTGCTTGCTAACGTGGATGTTTCGTCTCTTCTTCCTCGTTACACCGCACCTCGGCGCACTCCTCGTCTCCTTCTACTGCCATCTGGCGGCGCCTGGTGGCAACGGCTCGCCTCTACTAGCAGCCTCTGCTTTTCTCTTGACAGATTCGGAGAGAGCTTCTCTTCGATGCGAAAAATTATAGAGCAGATTACGGCCACTTTCAACACTCGATTCGAGCTGGAAAGCCTGCAGCAATGGGTGTCGTTGGTGGCGCGTCGTGGGGAGCTCGGCGCGGCTAAGAACGGATGGGAGCAGGCCATAGAACGCACCAAAGCCAATATTAAGTGGACGGTGCAGAACCTCAAGTCTATCGACTACTGGCTGACGCAGAAGCACACAGTGCATCGAAGGGGGGTGTCCGACTAAGCGGGACTGACTGTGTATGATGTTTATCTCTATGTAACTCTCTATACGCGTAAGTTATCGCCATCGTCGTCGTCGTCGTGTTGCCGCTATGTATTCTTATGATTGACAGGCACGGTAAGCAAATCTTTGGCATGTCCCGGATTGTGAGGTACGTGACTTTCAAATTCAACACGCCGCTTGAGCTGCAGCAGTTGAAGGAGTGGGTTGATTACATCTCCAAGCGTAACCAGTTGGGAGCTGAAACTAACGCCTGGGCGCAGGCTATCGAGCGGACCGGCGCCAACATCAGTTGGCTTAAAGGGAATCTGAAAGACATCAGCGCGTGGTTGAAGCAGGTTACACTAGTTGGCGATTCCCCAAAGTAGACCTGTCTAGTGTGTCCCGTGTTTCATGCGATGTTCCCGTGAGTATGAAACCGTTTATTGGTACAAAGATCGTATAAATATTAGACGACCAAGGCGATTTTCCTGACGTTGTTTATCATTACTGTAAAATGCTATATATTATTACGTTAATATATATATATATATATATATATATTAAGATATATTGTTAACTAACAAGTGACGTTATAATGTTGTTGTACATGGGGTTATGGTTACAGTTTATAGACAAGATTTGTCTTTCAGTACAGAGCGTGCTACACATGGCAATTAAATGTCATGACTTCAGACTGTACAGTTCTGCTGCTGATTATGCATCATTTGTCTGCCTTTGAAATAAAGTGTTTCGCTCCAGAAGTAATAGAACCTACTCATAGCGCATGATATGCACATCGGATAGCAGATAAGTATAGAGAGGTAACATTTTTCATGGTAAGATATCGTACAGTAACACAATGTAACAACAGAACGACTCCACAACGACAAGTGTACGAATTATTCTTGTTGATTCAATTAGCGAATCAGCCGATTCATTCCTTTATATCCCCATCCAGAATAACACATTGATATATCAGTATAGTCGATATTTGTTGTAGGCCATGTATATGTTTTTTTTCTTGCGTGACAAGAACCTTTATCGAGTAAACGGCGTGCTTCTTGTCTTCTTTTGCCGGTCTTTTATCCAGTATCAACGATGTTTATAATCACGATGTTTATGTTTAGTTCTATAATCACGTCGTAATTTGATTGTTAAACTTAATGCACTGTCGCGCGCGTCCTGCTCAATGTAACATGTATGTGCAATGCGTTAAAATATAGCACTTTATACATATCACACTATAATGATCATCGTTTGTGCAATTGCAACAGAATTTTCATATCCAACTACGCGATACGTGAATAGACTGACTCCGTAAGACGTCAAGAATCCTGTTGGGCTCAGCTACGGTGACGCTTGAAGTCAGTCTAATGGCCCTGTCCCACCTTGACGATTTAGCCAGCGTATGCCGACGTATCAAAATTTCTCTAAAACGCTGGCATACGCTGAACTATCGATGTTTTTTTTAAATTTTGGGCGTATACATAGCGTATTCATAACGAGTTGGACATATACATAACGTATTAGTAACTTATATAGAACGTTTCGATAACTTATAGATAACTTATACCAAAGAATGCTTAGCGGGTTGTTGGCGTTCACAACTTATGCCCAACGATAGTCTAACTTATCAAGAGCGAATAATGTTGTCGTGAAATAGCACTATTTCCCCGTTTTTCCGTTGTACACTCTAGGTATTATTAGCTCTTGAACTTATGCATAGCGCGCGGCAGCGTATCGCCGACGATCACGTGTCGTAGCCTATAAAAAGGCTGCCGCTCGACGATTCAAATCATAACCGCACTAGACATCGCAGTATCAACATCACCGTCGCAGTATCAACATGCCAATACCATTTTTACATACCAATTCCCCTAAACGCTGCAAATACGCCATTATACGGTAGCTGTAAGTTAGAAACACGTTCAGTAAGTTCTGTGGTCGTCCGGAACACGTCAAATACGTCTGCATACGTCAATATGCGTTGGACAAGGTTCAAAGCACGTTACTCATAGGTTAGAAATAAGTTTTGGGTACGCTAGACATTATCTTGACGTATTTCGACGTATGAGTAACTTACAAGTAACGTGTGTGAACGTGTCTCAACGATCGCATAACTTACCTACAACTTATGGCCCGCGTATGCTGGACGTATGGGCATACGCTGGCATACGTCGGGAAATTTTGAGCATGCTCAAAATTTTTCGACGACCTCGCCGTACTACGACGTATACCCGCGTGCTTCAGCGTGCTCTTAACTTATACAAAGCTTACCCATAACTTATTCGACGTACGCCAGCGTATTCACCAAATTTTTCATACGTCGGTATACGCTGGCTTTCATACGGAGGTGTGACAGCGCCATAATACTCATACACGCATTTATTCATTTGTCTAATTAGCGAGAGAGTTTCTTATGCGACTCTGTAATTCTCTCTGTGTAAAGTGCGCGAATTCGTTTGATGTTCGGGAAACCCATCTCACAAGGCGGCAGTCGAGCGCGTTATCCATAAAAAGCTCTTTTCTGGCATCGGGAACATAAAGTGACAGCCTAATCGACCGCTAATTGTTCGCGTTAGAAACACGAACGTCCGCGTGATATCGAAAGTGCTAGATTGAATAAACGAAACGAAGAAAACGAAATAGACAGTAGTACAACATGTGCGTCGTATATTTCGATAGATGGTATGACGGGAAATTTATCAGAAAATTTAGTAGTGAAATCCTCAACAGGCGCTTTTAAAATACACAATAGTATTGCGTCAACATATTCTGTTCGTTCTTGCTATAAAACAGGCAGTACACACACGGCCACCATCCATCGTCGATCAACGCCCTTATTAAAAGACTCGTAGAAAAACACTCGATTTAAAACACGAGGTTATATGCACCATAAAACGATCAAATATAAAAAAATAATTAGGTTATTATGCAAACAACATTATGCGAACCCGTTCGGAACGAGGCGAGTACAGCGCGTACGCCATCGGACCTTTTACGTCGATGTTCATCGATGTTCGAATGAGATTCGCAAATCGGAAAGCTTACGATCATACGATCGCCATCTACTAAAACGCTCCACGCAAAGCTCTCAATGATGATTGGAAAATATACAAGTGCATCGTCACTCGCACGATTAATAACTAACTAGTAAAAGCCGACAACATAATCCGTATTGCCGAGGGGGCAATGCTTAACACATTAGGAGTAGTAGAGCTGGACAATTCTATAGAATATATACACAAACGGGCGCGTTCTCGCGGAGATTTTTTTCCATCAGTAAAGCCGGCAGTTATGATATATTATTCCAGTAGATGGCGCGACTGACTGGCCGTGGGCCTTTGGGATTTCATCTCGGGAGGCGTGCAACTCCGTTTCAGCGCATTACAAAAGTACCCATTACGGCGAAATGCTACATTATTTACTTCACTCACTAGTCGTTTGCAATTATTTTAATCGGTAACACTGAACGGACCTAGCGCTATAAAGAGATTCAAATATGAGAGCTGGACTCACACGCAACGTTTAGTGTGCGTACGCAACCATCACGATTTTGCCAACCGAGATATTAGCGCGAAACTTCATTGATTATGACAAATCTATTAACATAGCCGAGGCCAGATTGCCTAAACATGCTCCTTATCATAAACACATGCATTTGTATGTACACACACTGTTATAAACACTTCTACTAATCTCATGCATCTTGAGACATTCACGGAAATATTTACGGGCACGATATAATTATTTGATAATTTCACGGAAAAATAGGTTGATTCTATGATTTATTATATCACTGCGTGTGCGTATGCTACAATGCTGGCGTTACCTGATATTTGCAGAGACATGGATAAGACTATCCGATCGTGTAACGAACGTCACTACGTTATGAGTTTCTACTCCATGATGGACGGCAATACAACGTATATGCGTCTAGCGCCACCTGCCTGCTATATACAAATGCACAATTCTCTCTTGCTCTGCGCAGATGTGGATTTATATGAGTATATGCATATTCATGTGTATATGTATATGTAAAGGGATATGTATATATGTGTATATCTTATTACTCCGTTGTCTTGTGAGAGGGCAGCGGCTCGCCTATATGGCATGAGATTGTGATCTCTTGTGTAGAACGAAGAAGAGCACGGCAGAGATGACAGTCATGCACCAACCCGCGACCATTAGGAAGAAGGCCCACGTGAGCGCTTTCACCTTCTGACCCCAGATCCGCTCCTGGCCCTCGCTGTAGTGAACCTCTAGGCCGAACACGAGCAGAGCGATTCCCATGATAAGCGCTGCAACGAAACGGAAGGCAAGCCTCAAGGAAATGTATGGGGTGCGATTTTACACCCTTCTTGTTCATTCTTGGCGCAAGATTTCGCGACCACTGCCGTACTAAATGCTGCAACTATTGTAATAGGGGCCAGCCGACGACACCACCTGTAGTGTGACGCCATCGTCGCCAGCATAACGTCATGGTCGCTAACGTGACGTCATCGTCGTTAGCGTGACGTCACGGTCGCTAACGTAACGTCATCGTCGATAGCGTGACGTCACGATCGCTAACGTGACGCCGCCATCGTCGATGCACGTGCGAGACTTACCTGCGGAGGAGAGCATCGAGTAGACGGTGCGACCGAGGCAGGTGAAGCACGAGCCGCCGCGGCTGCAGATGCACATGTAGAAAGGCAGGAAGCAGAGGCAGAGCAGTATGGAGCCGACAGCCAGCGCGAACATCACCTGACACGCGATGAACCAGTCTGTAAGAAAGTAACAAACACACACACCGATCATGTACCAGTCTGTAAGAAAGTAACAAACACACACACACCGATCGTGTAGCAGTCTGTAAGAAAGTAACAAACACACACATCGATCATGTACCAGTCTGTAAGAAAGTAACAAACACACACACCGATCATGTACCAGTCTGGAAGAAAGTAACAAACACACACACCGTTCATGTACCACTCTGTAAGAAAGTAACAAACACACACACCGATCATGTACCAGTCTGTCAGAAAGTAACAAACACACAAATCGATCATGTACCAGTCGCGTGTATGGGGTTAAGGTGGGAGGAGGAAGAAATGAGCACACATACCGATCATGTACCAGTCGCGTGCGTGGGGTTTAGGGTGGGAGGAAGAACTAGGGTGGTAGTGGTAGTAAAATAGGCGGGTTTTATGGTGCGTGAGCTTGATAAGGTGTGGAGGAGAGAGAGCTCAGAGAGGTAAGGTGGGAGGGGTGGTAGGATGGAAGTGTTGGCAGGACGGAATAGGTGGTGTCTAGGAAAGGTTGATAAAATGGGAGGAGTCGGCGCTAGTGTAGGCGAGGTTGATAGGGTACGGTAAAATGCGACGGGTTGTAAGGTAAAAGGGGTGGTAAGTTAGGAGTGGTATGATTGGACGTTGGGAGTGCTTGTAGGGTTGGAGGGTAGAGGTGGGGATAAACTAAAGCTTTAGTAAGAGAATTTGTTTTCTGCGAGGGCAATGCATCATATCGAGAGTACACAAACCCTTATAATAACATATAATATGTAATATTAATATCATAGTAATATATTATATACTATATAATATAGTCTATATTATGACACTCCTTATAACATTATATGATGGGGTTTATGTGATCCTGAGCATATGAGCGCGATGTGCGTCTGATGTGAGCTATTCGCTGCTAGACGGCGACCGTGAGCGACATTCCAGTTCACAGTCACGGGCCTCCATCTTATTCCGCGCTAAAAAAAATCCCGGCAGAGTTTCTGCGGGGCCAGATGGCAGCAGCCAGCTAGCCACGCAGTGTTCATGGTAATCGCATTAGCGCGTATTGCGGATATGCCTGGACGCCGACAAGACGCCCATCGCGAGAGCTCTGCTAGTTAGAACGCCGAGACGACCACTATCCGCTACTTGAGACTCGGATCTAAATCACCGCGGGTAGAATGATGACAGATCGGGTCACGAGGGTGCGCCACCGGTCACCACGCTTCCACACGTGGCTTATGCGCTGCTGGGGCGGCTAACCCGCGGCAGCTGTGCGCAACGCATACAACGTCTATAAACGTCTTGCAATGCGTGACCGTTTCTTAGAGCTAGTGCAAAACATGCTTGGCACACGTGTGGCTGGCTATTCTGCGAGCCTCTAACAGTTTTGCCAGTGTTTACTGCGCGTCACTACGTCAGGGGGGTAACTAACGTGGCGAGATCGCCACAGCAACGGATGCGCTCAGCGCCCCCTATAAGCTAATGTCAGTATAAGTGAGTACAGTAATGTTAAAAATTAATATGATATCTGCATATATTATGTTAAACTGATGGCTGCGAGCGTACATGCGTCTGCAAGCGTACGCACAAGTGTGTATGCGTGTCTTCATGCGTGCCTGTAATGCTATGTGTGCGTGCGTGCATGAGTGCGCGCGTGTGCCCCATATACGTTTTGACCCGCGCAACCGTATTTGCTAGCAACAACACCGTATAACATGGTCACAAATCACTAAATAATTTGTAGCCGCACGATGCCAAGAGCAATGTTAGAAACTGCAATGATCGTGGTTTGACCGAGGGCAGCATTTTTAGTGTCAACGGGAATGCAGATCGGCAGCGAACATATATTCGACAATAGCGTACATTGTACAGGCGCGCAGCATGTTTCATCTATAGCTGCGGAGATTCAAGTCAGTTCTGCGGACTAGTGGGACAACGGCCCATGCAGTGTGCCAGGTTGACGTGTTTCTAACAACTCTATAATTAAATACGATTCCGAATACGTTCTCTTTCGATCCCCTTGTTTAAACGTTAATTTGATTAACGAATACGTACCAACCTAAGGAGACCTCTTTTAAAGAGGCTCTTTATTATTATATTACAATTACAGCGTGGCATGCTGGCTCATACCAGTATCGTGTGATACCAGACCGTTATATATATATATAATCTCAATGTTATAATTATAAATTCATTTTACTCCCGATGCTGGCGAATGCACGGCACACGCACTGATTTTTATTATTTTTATGATTTCATAAGTGAAATATTACGGAAATAATATAATTATATTTGTTAAGATAATAATATGATTCAGAATGTTATTGAAACTGCCATGTAAAATATGCCAATTATACTTTTAGCGTTATATATCCTGCTAAGCTGTACGCGTTTCCGATATTATATTAAATCACGTACTTATCGAATAAAATCTGCCCGTAGTTGCAAAATAAATGTTGATCGCAAAACTCGACATGCCCCCAATAGTAAGGCAACAAACGCCAAATTTCCCGCAAACTTTGCCAAAGCAAAGTGCATGGTCTGGTATAAACGTTCAGGGGACTCTTTATGACTACTGGCCAAACATTATTCTGATCATTTACCCACATTAAAACGCATTTCTACTGCCACTAAATCAACTATTTATGAACTCGTTTAGTTTTGTTATCGTCATAAACAAGATTATCGTAATGTATTGTACATATAATATGCATGCAATCTCATTTCTGGAACTATATTTTGTGACAGTTGACCGCGTAACACTGGTTAGTACCTCGTAAACATTATTCCACCCGCATTCCACGCATGGGTTAAATTTGGTTAATTGCCACTGAAAACACCAACACCTGTTACCTACACGCGGCGTGCGAACTCACGCCCGCTTGCTAGACGTACTCCGTTAAAGATCAAACCACAGAACCCAGAGCAAAGATTAGCCGATGAGCGCGACGATAGCTTTTCCGGCCAACACTTAGCCCCTGATGACAATCGCATGCAGCCAAAACCTCATGTGATACATATCTCCGATGTGTAAACCCTCTTATATCCATATAAAGCTGTTACACACTCACAACCGCTAATTTCCAGAATTTCCCTTCACAATCTTTCACGGCTTGCAATTTACTAACTTCTCTCATAAACTAACGACCTTTTCGGCATTGAACACACTCTGCGACATGCCTGATAATAGCGTGCTCAGTATATAGTAAAACACGCGCAAGGTAAACTGGAAAAGGTAATTCGAAATCTGCCACAGAAAAGAACAACAATTAATGGCTTCCGTGGCAAAATCTACTTATAGTCAGGAGTAAAATAATAGACTGTGTATGTATATCGTAACACGTATTATTTTACTCCCAATGGTTTAACAATAAAAAAGGGCTAATAATAACAAATCATAGAGATCTTGCATAGCTATATTAAACGTATAAGTAATTTAATATAGCTATTATTCAAGATAGCGGACTCGAGGAATCCAACTTCGATTCACTCGACCCACACGCCACACGCGCGCTGATCACGTACTCGGCATGTACTGCAGGTTGTCGATGCGTGGTTGATACATCCAGTAGCATCGGCCGGACAGCGCCGTGCAGAAGCGCCACAGTCCGAAGTAGCCAGACAGGTGGAAATCCGCCCAGTGGTCAAGCAGGAAGGCGACGGCGCTGACGCCGCACGCGAGGAAGGTGCAGACGAACACGAGTACGAGCATTCCACGCATGCCCTTCTCCTTACCAGGAATTGCGATGCTAGACGACATGGTCGTGTGCAGGTGTGACACAATGCACAGCTACCGCGTAGGCGAAAGTCAGAGATAGGAATAGGGTAAGCGAGTGAGAAGAGGGGGAGGTAAGAGAGTGAGAAGAGGGGGAGGTAAGAGAATGAGAAGAGGGGGGAGGAGGTAAGAGAGTGAGAAGAGAGATGGAGAAGAGGTACGCTTGTCTTGGAAGCTAGCTCGACGAAGTTCCGATCTAAGTGTTCCCTGTATTCCTGACTTCTTGATATGATGTATCGAATTGATACAAACACCGCACAACCTGATTCAACATAGAATGTCAATGGCAGACAATGACAAAAGTTGAGAGTCACACAGTGGGAAAGCTGGGTAAGAGACACAGGAATGGAAATCCAAATATATATATATATATATATATATATATATATATATTATATAATGCAGAAGCTCACGCAATCCCTAATCGTACATCTGCCTCTGTTGTCCGTCGATTTGAAAGGGAAATATTTAACGTAATCCAATCAATCTTTGCCTCATGCTCCTGTTCGAGGCAAGGTCTGATACCACAGAGCACTCGAAGCTGATGACAGCAAGTTAAAGAAGCTACATCAAGGCCCGATCGACATGTGATACTATATCATCGGTCACGCAGGCAGTTTGTCAGTGTGACGCTCACACAGCCACGTAAACACACACACACACACACGCAAGTACGTACATACAAGCAAATGGACACTAGCACTAGCTCTCGCGACCAGAGCTACTTGTCCGACATGCCCTCCTGCTCACACACTAAACTCGGCAAATCTCGCATGCTCCACTGAGAGGCATTCGCACGTGTAAAGAGATAGAGAGAGCTATAGTGGGTCTGTGAATGTGTGTGCACGCTTCACAGGCGCTGAAAGAACCAGATACACGCGAGTGCGACCTGCTGTGGCCGCGAGCAGTGAAGTGACCGCGAGCCTTCGACACTGACACGGTGCACGCACGGTTCGTCACTGACTGGCCCCGACTGTCCGCTGCTGCGCTCACTGCGTGCTACTAACTGCTGCTGCTTGCACCTAGCTGCTGGCTTGCTACTGCTGCTGCTGCTACTGCTGCTTGCCGCTGCATGCTGCTAGTTCTACTGCTACTGCTGCTACTGCTGCTGCTACTGCTGCTACTGCTGCTGCTGCTGCTGCTGCTGCTGCTGCTACTACTACTACTACTACTACTACTACTACTGATACTGCTGCTGCTGCTGCTGCTGCTGCTGCTA